TTAAAATAAATTTTATCAATAATTTTTTTTAAATGTAAGTACTTTTTCATAAATATAAGTAACTTTTTGGTATATTTGTTTATTTTTATAGATCTAAGTCAATTGGTTTTTTTTTTCAAATTTTTTTCATTATTTTACTATATTAACTAGTTTTATAGGTCATAAGGATGTACATAAGAGGTTTTAAAAAGTTCAATGAGTTATTTAACATGTTTTGAAATGTCCAAAAATTTATTTGTTTCAAAAATTTGTCCAATGACTTAATCATTCCAAACACTAAAGTCTATTGAGTTTTTTTAGACTTTTCCATTAATTTGATACTAAAATTAATACATTTTTTCAAAATTTTACAATACCTTCAAATTTACATTTTATTCAAAAAATAAAAACAATATCCTTTTTCAGTACCACATAAAACTGTATTATAATATCGAGAGAGACAGAATATAATTAAACATTAAAATCGAAATATATTTCATTGCATTGTACGAGTACCCTTCTAGTTTATATAAATTGTGTAATTATCAGTCTTAAGAACATAAAATTCTCAACGTGTACTATTTTATGGTACACGGACATCGACATTCTAATTAATTCATTTTTTCTTATAATGTAAAAACATCTCGAGCAGATTGGAGAAATTGAAAATTTTGAACAAAAAATATTTGGCTGAGAAAGTAGGATAGACAGTGAGAAATTCTTAAAATTAAGAGTAACTCCCAAAAAATGATTATCATGAAAGAAAACAATAAATATATATTTTTATATTCCATCAACAAAAACTTTGACGTTAAGGGGTCGTTTACCAAACACTTACCCGATAAGCGCTTACTGGTAAGATTTAACACTACCATTTACTTAATGGGTAAGGTTTTAGTCCACCAAAACGATATCGTATGCAACAATTTACCCGGTAAGAGTCGTCGTTCTCACTTACCAGGTAAGACTCTTGGTCATTTTCTCGTTCTTACCGGGTAAGTTCTTGGTCCTTACCATATTTATCCGATAAGGTAGTGTGACTTGTTATTCACTTACATGAGTAAGCGTTTGATAAAGGGCTTCTAAATGTTTATTTTTTACCAAACATGTAATATAGTTTAACAATATAATCAATGTTTAATCTTGAAAATGAATAATCTGTAGAAGTTGAATGTAATTCTTTAAGATTCCAAACAGATGTTGAAAAGAGTTTGTAGAATCGATTAAAGATATTGCAAGTAGCCATGGGTACAAGTTCTTGTTATCCAAAATAAATTCATAATCATAAATACTTAATACAAATAAAATATGAATCATTTTATTATTTTAACAAATTAATTTTAAAAGTACATGAAATATCAAACAGTGGACATTAAATAAATTAGATATAATTATGTCATGGATTACATTTTATTTTGGTTTAATATTTTTTATATAATTAATCAAAATATAAAAATATGTATTAAATATTGGATTAAATGCTAGACGTTCACATTTCTGTGCCATCACATTTCCAAGAGATTTCATACCATCCAACTTCACAAATTATATATATATTTTAATAAAAGTTGTCGTTTTTTAAATACATGATTATATATATATATATATATATATATATATTAATATTAACTTTGACTTATCAAAGAAAATACATTTGAGTTTGTATTGTAAGAAAATTAAAAAATTATTTAAATGTTTAAAACTCTAAAAAAGAGTAGGTTGTTATATATTTGTGATGTTTAAATTTATGTTTTTAAATATATGGAATTAATTATTTGAAAACTTTAAGATTTATGTAATTCATGAAATTTATTAATTTAAAAATAGGGAAAATCATCAAAAGCCATTTTATATCTAAACCAAAATAACCATTTTTCAACCTTTTTTTTTCACAAAATAACCATTAGGATCGCCCCGAGGGAGTGATTTGATCAAAAAGGTACGAAAGAGGTCCCACATGTATTTGGTTTGGGGGACAAAAATCAGATATTTATCTAAAAAGGGGGGGGATCGCCCCCGGTGGCGATTTGACCAAACATTGACTGTTATTTTGTCCTCGAGTGCGGACATCCTATAACACACCGATTTGACAATTAAAGTGTGTTTTTTAATAAACAGGGGACATTTTGACTGATATTTTGTCTATTTTAGAACTAAATATAGTATATATATATATATATATATATGGTATATTTCTTTTACAACCTTGTGTATTTGTACAACCCTTGCAACCCAATTAATTGATATATTTATAGAAATGATGGGAGTTCATTTATTATGATTTGAATATTTACATAATATGAATAGAGTTCATTGATTATGATTAATACTTTATATTAGGAAACAATCAAAACTTCTATGAAATCACATATTCATCAAATTAAATGGACGGTTAAGATTGGGTTGTATTGGTTGTACAAATGTAAAGGGTTGTATAATAACTCACCTCTCTCTCTCTCTCTCTCTCTCTCTATATATATATATATATATATATATATATGTTATGGTTTTTCTTTATAAAATGAAACACTTCTACTCTCACAACTCTTAACCTTT